AGTCTTTTTATGGCCAATTGAATTTCTTCTTTGCTTACAGCTGCTCTAAGTTTCCTGCTGTTCCTCCGTTACTGTTGGCAGGTCTAGTTGTGTTCAGGTGGATCGGTAGTGGTTGCACGCGGTCTGTGCTCTCAGATGATTCACACTAACAAGTGGATAAACTCACGATTATGGACTTTTTTAATGGGTTTATGTGTGAATTTTGACTTTTGTGTACGCCACGGAACCCGGAGTTTAGCATAACAGCTAGCTAAAGCCAACAGCTAGCTAAAGCTAACAACTTTTCGAGTTTGCGACACGCAACAAGAGATGGCGAGGGGGACAAAAGCCTTAACGGAGGACATGGAGGAGCTGAGGAGGTCAACAGACTCACTCACGGAGGCTGTGGCTGCGATTCAAAAGCAAACTAAAGCAGATGATGCCGGGGACATTCGTAAAACACTCATTACTCTGACGGAGGAGACAACAGTGATCAAGGAGCAGCAAAACAGGATTCTACAGCTGATGGAGGTGAAACAGCTGAGGATTTTAAACACCGAAAAGGACAAGAAGATTGCAGACCTGGAGAGAAGAATCGATGACTTGGAACAATACTCGAGAGTGAATGATGTTGTCATCACAGGTCTGAAAATCAAACCCAGGTCATACTCGAGGGCAGTGGCGACCAGCGGCGGGTCAGAGGCAGAGGAGCAGGAGGCTGACTCCGCTGAACAACAGGTCGCAGCGTTCCTCCAGTCCAGGGGCATCTCTCTGGATTTGGATGGCACCCTCTCCCTCGAAGAAGGGATAACGCGATGCCAGCGGTGATCATGTGCTTTGTCAACCCAAAGAAAAAAGTGGAGCTGCTGAAGCAAGGAAGGAAGCTGAAAGGATCCAATGTTTTTATGAACGATCACTTGACGCGGAGGAATGCTGAAATTGCACAAAGAGCCAGATTCATGAGAAAACAGAACAAAATCCAACACACATGGGTCAGCAACTGTAAAATCTACATCAAGCTAAACGGGTCACCAGAGGAAGCCAGAGTTATTGTTGTCAAGACTCTGGAAGATCTGGATAAGTTTGATTGATGCAACGTCAAGGTAACAAACAGTCATTCTTATGACGCACAACAACAATAACACCACAGCTGAACATCAGCACTTTAGAGAAAGAGTCCTGGACAATGTGTTGGAATGAAATACATTTGATTGAACAGAGCATGAGGACTATGACCCAGAGAAAGACATGGATCCAGACAGCACTTTTTTTCTAATGTGAATGTGAATAGTAAATATGACTCTGATGATGATTATAACTCTATGGATACATTGAATGACTTATCAATGATACATTTCAACAGTAGGAGCATGTACAAACACTTTAGTAGCATCAAAGAATATCTTGATACATTTAGAGTCCCTTTTAGTATCATAACATTATCAGAAACATGGCTGAACGACCAAAAAGGGACAGATTTTGACTTGGAAGGCTATGAAGTCAACTACAGAAATAGGAAAAACAAAACAGGAGGAGGTGTGGGTATTTATGTAAACAAGAAGTGAACATTTAAAATGGTTGAAAATATGTGTGTTACAGTTGATGGGCTATTTGAATGTATAACTATTGAGCTAATCTGTCAAAGGAAAACAAATAAAATAGTAAGCTGCCTATACAGAACACCAGGTTCAAGTATAGAACATTTGATGGTGCACATAGAACAAATAAATCAATATATATTACAGGAGATTACAACATAGATCTCATGAATCCCAATAAACATCAAAACACGGATGAATTTATGAACCTTATGTATAGTATGAGCTTATTTCCTGCAATCACCAGGCCGAGTAGAATCACTTCACAGAGTGCTCCTCTCATCCATAATATCTTCACAAATGACATTGATTTATTGAAATGAAGTGGACTAATGATATGTGATATAACTGAGCATCTACCTGTTTTTACTTTATGTCACCATAAGAATATGAAGAGCACAAACACTCAGAATGACGTATACAAAAGAGTGCTATCTGAAAGTACTATTGAATCATTGAAATGTGACTTGTCAATTCTAAACTGGAGTGGTGTAGTAAGTGAAAGGAATGTTGACCAAGCTTAGAACATGTTTCTTCATATATTTTGGAACCTTTATAATCCAAATTGCCCTGTGAGAAATGTCCCTGTGAGAAGACCAGGGGATTACAAAATGCTTGTAGAAACAATAATCATTTGTATAAACAGTTGTTGAAAGCAAAAACCATGGAATGTGAAAATAAAGATAAGGTATATAAAAATAGGTTGACTATAATATTAAGGAGTAGGAAATAGTATTTTGAGAAGTGATGAAATCCAAAGCAAAACAACATCAAAGGAATATGGGATGTAATGAATGGGTTACTTAAAGAAAAGGCCAATATCTCAGATAACTACCCAGAGTATTTTATGGATGGAATGATGACAATTACCATATGCAAAATGTGCTAAACAAATGTCATCAGGTTTTTGTAAATGTGGGACCAGACTTAGCTGGAATCCCTGAAAATGAAGGAGACCTGTCACTAATTGAAAGAAATCCAAAAAGTATCTTTCTCTCAGGTGTAAATGAAACTGAAATGAAAGAAATTGTTGGTAAGTGTAAAAATAAATGTTCCACTGACTGTTTTGATATTGACATGAGATTCATTAAAAAAGTCATAGATTGCAAAACAAAACCATTCACTTATATTTGTAACATTTCACTGCAAAATGGGATATTTCCAAACAAAATGAAAAGTGCTAAAGTGATTCCAATGTTTAAGTCTGGTAACAAGCACGTCTTTACTAACTATATGTTGCGCCCTCTGCTCCGTGGTTTTGGGAGAGGTACGTGGTTGCTTTGAGAATGAATAAACAGGGGAGAAAAGAGTTGCGTTCTCACTCGGCAGTTTATTTTCCAAAAAAAGAACCCCAGACCTTGCTGCGCAGGCGCGTTTCACATGTCTCCGCCAACCAATAACAATGAACTTTGTAACAGATTTATTTCATTAAATCTGTTTATCTCATTAAATCTGTTTCTAATCGTTATGAAATCATGTAATATATTGCCTTTTACAATTGTTTGAAATGATAATCCTGTATTTCAACCTGTCACATACTCCCCCTCAAAATAGATGTTGTCCCCAACATCAGCATCTGTAGATTACCAAGTAATTACATCCACACAAACAAAAACAAACACTTCCATCTTTTTTCTTTTTACAGACTGGAACTCTTTTCATACATGCTTTGAGTCAAAACTCAACCATGCCAGAAGTGTCCACTTCACTTAAACACGCAACAACAAAAAATACCAACACGATATATTTCCATTTGTTTCAATCTGATGCATGTAAACAACTGAAATCAGTTTCAAAATGAAATGAGAAGTGATCCCAAAATCAATAGTTCAGTGTATTTATGCAAATATGCACCCAACTCTTCAAGCAAACGAAAGTATCAACCATGTCTGTAAAACTCTTGAAAATAATAAAGATGTACATCATACAGCCATGGCATGTTCTGCTCACCTTTATAGGGAAATGTAATAATATTGTGACAAGTCGGTGTATCGAGTCTGTCATAGGTAAATACCCTTGGTTTTCTGTGGTCACGTCTCGGAGAAGGTGGCGGGTCAGGCTCCTCCCCAGGCAACACTTCTTCCTGGCAGACATCATCTGGTGGACGGTCTTCTTCAGGTTCTGTCTCTGGGAGTACACCTGCAGGCTGATCTTCCTCATGAAGTACCGACTCCGCAGTCCCCTCCTGCTGTGGCGGGGAATCAGGGCGAGTGTTACGGTGGCGTGGCACTGGATAATACTCTCCCTCATCGTCATCCTCTTCTGACTCAGTCACCTCTGTTCGAGTCCCTGCTCGTTTTGTTGGCTTTTTCTTTGGCTCCAAAGAAGCCTCTAGAGGCAAGTGGTCACATGGCAGTAGGAGATTCTGATGTAATGTTCTGGACCTGCCATTGCCTCTCTCAGGTTTCAGTTTATAAACAGGAATATCTTTGCTCACTTGCCGAACCACTGTGTGCACAATGTTCTCCGGTTGGCTTCTGAGTTTGCCTGGACCCCCACGTGGAGTCAAGTTCCTGACTAGGACACGATCACCCGGTAACAAAGCGGAGTACCTCAGTTTACTGTCATATAGTCTCTTACTCCTGGTGGCAGCTTTGTTTGCTTTTTGTCGTGTGACCTCATACGCATCTTTCATACCCTGTCTCCACTTATGCATGTAACTCTGATGGTCACAGTCACTCTTGCCTTGGTTTGAAGTTAAACTAAACAACATGTCCACTGGTAACCGTGGTGAACGCCCATAAAGTAAGTAAAAAGGAGAAAACCCTGTCACCTCACTTCCAGTACAGTTATATGCATACACCATTTTGTTTAGTGAGCCCTTCCAGTCACTCTTTTGTTTCTCAGTCAGTGTTTTTAATATTTTGTCCGCTGCAGTTTTACCAGACTTGGATGTAGTAGCATACGCCTGGGCAAAACGGGTAAAATGACCAACTATGACAAGAATGTATTCATATCCACCCTTACATTTGTCTAAGTGTAAAAAGTCCACAGACACCAGTTCAAAAGGCTGGGTGGTAACTATATTAGTAAGCGGCGCCCTTGTTTCACGGCTTGGCCGTTTGGTTTTAAGGCAGACACATTTCCTCATCACATAGTCCTCTATTTCTTTCTGCATAAAAGGCCAGTGAAAACGGTCCCGTACCAAAGAAATAGTCCTTTCCACACCATGGTGGCCCATATCATCATGTAGTTCTTTTAACACCACTGACTTGTGTTTTTCAGGGAGCACAAGTTGTGACCTGTTTGTAGTTTTTCCTGTACTAAAACACCTTTCTCACTGAGAACTGCAACTTGTCCCACTCCCTGAGGAGACACACGACTGATGGGCTAAGCTTTTTGAGTTCTGAACCTGAAGGTTTTGCTTCTGCTAGTTTGAACTGAATAATCTGAATACAAGCATAACAATAAAATTAAAATCGGCTAGTTCTGACCTGGGCTGTGGACGGGGCACATGATACCGTTGTGGGGCAAAGCGCTGCTGAAACTGGGTGGTTCCTCTCGGTGGTGCAGGGCTTGGTGGTGAGTGGTACTGTTGCAGAGCTGCTTGAGAGTGTTGAGGGTAGAAGGCCCTGGTAGGTGGCTCCAGCGGATATGTTGGGCGTGGCTCCTGTTGCAGCGGGCGTGGCTCCTGGTACATGGGGTGCGGTGTGAAGGTCGGTGCTTGGTAGTGGTCCTCAGCTCCTCTGCTGACGGTACTGTAGTTGTAGATCTCTGCATAGTCTCTCTGATCTGGGAAACCTCAGCCCTCAAGTCCTTTAGAAACCCCATCTCAGAGCGCATCTCCTTAATCTCTGACAGGAGCTCTGGAGGCATAGTAGCCGTGGTGTGTTTTTGTATCTTCTTCTCTGCAGGGGCTGAGAGATCACTGGACTGGACTACATTAACGGTAGTAGCAGCTCGCTGGGGAACGGTCTGTTTCTTTTTGTCTTGTCGCTCCTTTTCATTTGCACATGTTACATTAATTTTTTCCAGTAACGCTTCATCAGTTGTGGCTTCTTGGAGAAGGTAAGGTTGCATGTCACTCTTGATATTGTCACTCAGTAACCCGGTCAATATGGTGTGCATGAATAAACTCTGAACCAAGGCAGGGTCATACTTCAGACCAGACTCTGCTTCTTGGGACGCAAAAAGAATCTTCTGCCGAAGGTCCATGGCTCTCAACAAGAAGTTCTGTGGTGTCTCCTTACAGTTCTGAACCTCAGAGGAGAGCTGCTTGTACAGTTCTGTGGCTCCTCTCTCCTGATAATGAGATCTAAGAATCCTGCGCAGGGCTGGAAGTGTGAGGTCACTTTTACCTTCAAGGTAGCTCCTCAACTGTAGCCCTGGAGTCATGGCACGGATCACAGCACCAGTTATCTCATCTTCTCGATAGTCTTTACTGAGCCCACATTCTATCTGTCTGGCCAAACTAGAAAATGTGAGCTTGTCCTTTTGTCCAGGTTCACCAATTAAACCTGCTATTTTAAAGTCTTTACGCCACATGTGGTTGTCTGAGGGCGCGGAGACTCGTTCTTGCATTGGTGGTGATTTTAAGCTCAGTTGTTGTGTTATTTTCTGTAATGCATACTCTTTTTCTTGTATGATAGCACGAAGATCACTCATCTCCTTCTGTAGATCTTCTCCCCCATTATCCCCACATGCATCCAACTCTGGGATTTTTGCATTTTCAATCAAGTCGTTTAATATGAGCAGTTCAGACATTCCTTTGTCTTCCAGGTCGGCTAATTGGTCTCTTTCAACATGTCTTGTAATGAAAGTGATTAGCTGCTTTCGACTCTTAGCTAAAATCTGCTCCTTTCCAAGTCCTGATATTTGTAGTGCATTGCATATGTTTACCAGTTGTTCAACATTCAGTCCATATAAAGCGCCATTGATTTCTAATTGTAGTTGCTCTAGCTCCGACTCCATTTTGATCAGGGAAAGTAGACGAAACAGTTCAACTTGGGCTTATTAATTCGTGGTCTTGCGGTGCCCTCTTGTGGTGGTTGTGCACAATTGAGATACAACCTGCTGCACGTGCTGATAGAGCCGAGTTGAACTCACTGCCTCTGCCCGATGCTAGGTGGCGGTGATGCTAGGTTCGGTTAACGGACATTCGGCTAGAGCTTCCACTCATAGCTGGTGGATAAAACTCTGACCAAACATCCCAGCGGTGCCTCCAAAATGTTGCGCCCTCTGCTCCGTGGTTTTGGGAGAGGTACGTGGTTGCTTTGAGAATGAATAAACAGGGGAGAAAAGAGTTGCGTTCTCACTCGGCAGTTTATTTTCCAAAAAAAGAACCCCAGACCTTGCTGCGCAGGCGCGTTTCACATGTCTCCGCCAACCAATAACAATGAACTTTGTAACAGATTTACTTATAAATTTTTTACATATATACTTTTTATCTCTCATTAAATCTGTTTCTAATTGTTATGAAATCATGTAATATATTGCCTTTTACAATTGTTTGAAATGATAATCCTGTATTTCAACCTGTCACATATAGACCTGTCTCTCTCCTTCCACACTTTTCAAAAATCCTTGAGAAAGTTTTCAACGATAGACTTGAAAATGTGATTGAAAAACACTGCCTGTTAAATGACGGACAATATGGGTTCAGACCTGGAAGATCCACCTCTATGGCCATTATTGATGCTGTAGACCACATTTCACATTCATCGGATAAGAAACAAATAGTCGTTGGAGTTTTTATTGACTTAAAAAAAGCCTTTGATACGATTAACCACACAATCTTACTTGAAAAACTAGAGAAATATGGGATCCGAGGGGCAGCAGGGGATTAAAAGTGATTGAAGTGAGAGACAGCAGTTTGTAAAGATAAGGGTAAGTACCAATCTACAGCAGAGCTATCACATGTGGACTGCCACAAGGTTCCATATTGGGCCCAAATGATTTCATTTGTTTATCAATGACATCTTCAATGTCTCTGCACGACTGAAACTGATTTGATTTGCTGACCACACTAACATTTTCTATGCAGATGATTGTTATGACCACGTTATAAACACTGTGAATGAGGAATTGGCTCAAATTAAAACATGGATGAATAATAATAAGCTGTCACTTAACCTTGAAAAAACTAAAGTCATTATGTTTGGTAACTGTCAGGAAAGTGTGTGTGTCTCAGTGTGTGGAGTGTGTGGAGTGTGTGTGTCTCAGTGTGTGGAGTGTGTGTGTAAGTGTGTGTGGAAGTATGTGTGTCTGAGTGTGTGTGTCTCAGTGTGTGGAGTGTGCGTGTCTCAGTGTGTGGAGTGTGTGTGGTGTGTGTGTAAGTGTGTGTGGAAGTATGTGTGTCTCAGTGTGTGTGTCTCAGTGTGTGGAGTGTGCGTGTCTCAGTGTGTGGAGTGTGTGTGTAAGTGTGTGTGTCTCAGTCTTGTGTGTCTCAGTGTGTGTGTCTCAGTGTGTGGAGTGTGTGTGTCTCAGTGTGTGGAGTGTGTGTGTCTCAGTGTGTGGAGTGTGTGTGTCTCAGTGTGTGGAAGTATGTGTGTCTCAGTGTGTGTGTCTCAGTGTGTGGAGTGTGCGTGTCTCAGTGTGTGGAGTGTGTGTGTCTCAGTGTGTGGAGTGTGTGTGTCTCAGTGTGTGGAAGTGTGTGTGTCTCAGTGTGTGGAGTGTGCGTGTCTCAGTGTGTGGAGTGTGCGTGTCTCAGTGTGTGGAGTGTGTGTGTGTCTCAGTGTGTGGAGCATGTGTGTCTCAGTGTGTGGAGTGTGTGTGTCTCAGTGTGTGTCTCAGTGTGTGGAAGTGTGTGTGTCTCAGTGTTGTGTGTCTCAGTGTGTGGAGTGTGTGTGTGTCTCAGTGTGTGGAATGTGTATGTCTCAGTGTGTGTGTCTCAGTGTGTGGAGTGTGTGTGTCTCAGTGTGTGGAGTGTGTGTGTCTCAGTGTGTGGAGTGTGTGTGTCTCAGTGTGTGGAAGTGTGTGTGTCTCAGTGTGTGTGTCTTAGTGTGTGGAGTGTTGTGTGTCTCAGTGTGTGGAGTGTGTGTGTCTCAGTGTGTGGAAGTGTGTGTGTCTCAGTGTTGTGTGTCTCAGTGTGTGGAGTGTGCGTGTCTCAGTGTGTGGAGTGTGTGTGTGTCTCAGTGTGTGGAGTGTGTGTGTCTCAGTGTGTGGAGCGTGTGTGTCTCAGTGTGTGGAGTGAGTGTGTCTGAGTGTGTGGAGTGTGTGTGTCTCAGTGTGTGGAGTGTGGGTGTCTCAGTGTGTGTGTCTTAGTGTGTGGAAGTGTGTGTGTCTCAGTGTGTGGAGTGTGTGTGTCTCAGTGTGTGGAGTGTGCGTGTCTCAGTGTGTGGAGTGTGTGTGTGTCTCAGTGTGTGGAGTGTGTGTGTCTCAGTGTGTGGAGCGTGTGTGTCTCAGTGTGTGTGTCTCAGTGTGTGAAGTGTGTGTGTCTCAGTGTGTGGATTGTGTGTGTGTCTCAGTGTGTGGAGTGTGCGTGTCTCAGTGTGTGGAGTGTGCGTGTCTCAGTGTGTGGAGTGTTGTGTGTCTCAGTGTTTGTGTCTCAGTGTGTGGAGTGTGTGTGTCTCAGTGTGTGGAGTGTGTGTGTCTCAGTGTTATGTGTCTCAGTGTGTGGAGTGTGTGTGTCTCAGTGTGTGGAGTGTGTGTGTCTTAGTGTGTGGAAGTGTGTGTGTCTCAGTGTTGTGTGTCTCAGTGTGTGGAGTGTGTGTGTCTCAGTGTGTGGAGTGTGCGTGTCTCAGTGTGTGGAGTGTGTGTGTGTCTCAGTGTGTGGAGTGTGTGTGTCTCAGTGTGTGGAGTGAGTGTGTCTCAGTGTGTGGAGTGTGTGTGTCTCAGTGTGTGGAGTGTGTGTGTCTCAGTGTGTGGAGTGTGGGTGTCTCAGTGTGTGTGTCTCAGTGTGTGGAAGTGTGTGTGTCTCAGTGTGTGGAGTGTGTGTGTCTCAGTGTGTGGAGTGTGCGTGTCTCAGTGTGTGGAGTGTGTGTGTGTCTCAGTGTGTGGAGTGTGTGTGTCTCAGTGTGTGGAGCGTGTGTGTCTCAGTGTGTGGAGTGTGTGTGTCTCAGTGTGTGAAGTGTGTGTGTCTCAGTGTGTGGATTGTGTGTGTGTCTCAGTGTGTGGAAGTGTGTGTGTCTCAGTGTTGTGTGTCTCAGTGTGTGGAGTGTGTGTGTCTCAGTGTGTGGAGTGTACGTGTCTCAGTGTGTGGAGTGTGCGTGTCTCAGTGTGTGGGTGTGCGTGTCTCACTGTGTGGAGTGTGCGTGTCTCAGTGTGTGGAGTGTGTGTGTCTCAGTGTGTGGAGTGTGTGTTTCTTAGTGTGTGGAGTGTGTGTGTCTCAGTGTGTGGAGTGTGTGTGTCTCAGTGTGTGGAGTGTGTGTGTCTCAGTGTGTGGAGTGTGTGTGTGTCTCAGTGTGTGGAGTGTGTGTGTCTCAGTGTGTGGAGTGTTATGTGTCTCAGTGTGTGGAGTGTGTGTGTCTCAGTGTGTGGAGTGTGTGTGTGTCTCAGTGTGTGGAGTGTGTGTGTCTCAGTGTGTGGAGTGTGTGGGTCTCAGTGTGTGGAGTGTGTGTGTCTCAGTGTGTGTGTGTGTGTGTGTGTGTGTGTGTGCACTTGTTTTCAACTCCTGGTGGGTTCCATAACCTGAGATTCCACTCACGTCATGGGGACTGGTTTTACGTGGTGGGGCCCGAACACCGGACCCCACTGGTCCAAGCTTAATAATCAATGGGTAATGCTTTTCTAACGGTCCTTATGCAGTCTCTGTAAAAATATGGAAAGGACCCCTGGAGGTT